GTTAGTGTGTATGTGTGTGTGTGTGTGTGTGTGTGTGTGTGTGTGTGTGTGTGTGTGTGTGTGTGTGTGTGTGTGTGTGTGTGTGTGTGTGTGTGTGTGTGTGTGTGTGTGTGTGTGTGTGTGTGTGTGTGTGTGTGTGTATGTTTCTGTTATTGTGTGCATGTGTGTATGTTTGTAATTGTTAGTGTACATGTGTATTTATGTATATGTGTATATATTAGTGTGTGTTTCTATTTATGTTAGTGTTAATACGTGTATGAGTACATATATATGCTAGCACAAATCATAAAGAAAGTCAATTCTGTATTAGTACATGTACACACGAACACGCAAGTTCAACATACCTACTCATCATCCTAACCGGTCCACCAAGCGTTACGGAATACCCTCTCCCCCTCAGGTCCTGCTCTTTGACTCGACGGTGGCCGGGCTGGTGCTGCTCGTGGGGCAGATCGCGGACGGTGTGAGCACGCCAATCGTCGGCATTTTCTCGGACAAGCAGAACAAAATACCGATTTGCGCGAGATACGGGAGGCGGAAGGTGTGGCATCTCCTTGGTGAGTGCGATTGTGGTTGCATTTTTGCTTTCTTCTGTCTTTCTTGATGGTGCTATCATGTCTGTCTATCTGTCTGTCAGTCAGGCAGTTAATCAGTCTACTTTATCTATTTATCTGTGTACTATCAGTCTGTCTATCTGTCTATTCATTTATTTACCTATCTACCTATCTATCTATCTGTCTATCTATCTGTCTGCCAATTCATCTGTTTACATGTCTACCTGCCTACCACCTGTTTATCAATCTATCTATTTGTATGTATGTCTATCTATCAGTAACAAATACTGCTGGCATCATGACCAGAACTTTTGAAAGTGAAAGTTACGTGGTTTCCCTTGCTCATAAGAGAGCATTAATAGGCCCACACTCCCGCAAGTAGATTTCTCTCTCTTTCTCTTTCTTTCCCCTCTCTCTCTCTCTCTCTCTCTCTCTCTCTCTCTCTCTCTCTCTCTCTCTCTCTCTCTCTCTCTCGTCTCTCTCTCTCTCGCTCTCTCGCTCTCTCTCTCTCTCTCTCTCACTCTCTCTCTCACTCTCTCTCTCTCTCTCTCTCTCTCTCTCTCTCTCTCTCTCTCTCTCTCTCTCTCTCTCTCTCTCTCTCTCTCTCTCTCTTTCTCTCTAGTAATTTCAAAGGGGGCGTGAGCCCTTAGGGAAAAATAGGAATTTTTCGAACCATATTTGTTATTATTTTAACGGGAGCTGATTCTAATAATGATGAGTTTAATGATAATGTCATAAATTCTTTCTCAGTAAAACAAAACAAAAACCCTAAGAACTCATCTATAATTTTCTATAAAATCCGGGAGGAAATTTTATCCATAGATGCAAAAGGGGGCGTGAATTGAAGGACAAATTCCTAGAGGAGGCGAGGTAGTAAAAAGGTTAAGAAGCAAGCTCTGGATAAATATCACACGAATACACTGCGCAGACGAAAACCAGATCTGTATGCATTCCGTAATCTGAAATGTGGGAATTAGCTCGCGATCAGGAAATATCTCACAGGCATGTCTCACGATCATCACTCGGCGGTGACACTTCCTGGTGTTTTCTTCCTCTTTCTCTTCGTCTTTTTCTTTTTCTTTTTCTTCTTTTTCTTCTTTTTCTTTTTCTTCTTTTTCTTCTTCTCCTTTTTCTTCCTTTTCTTTTTCTTTTTTTTCTTTGTCTTCTCCTTCTTCTTTTTCTTCTTCTTTTTCTTTTTCTTTTTCTCATTTTTCTTCGTCTTCTTCTTCTTCCTTTTTTTTCGTTATTATTGTTGAAATATTTGAATTTCTTCCCCCCCCCCTCCTTATTTTAGAGAGATAGCTTACAACAGAGAGGAAATAAGACTTATGGTTGGCCGCGTTCATAATGACATATATATATACGTTGCACCAGCGTGAGGAAACGAACGAAAAACGTAATACTGAATGATATGTAGAATTAATTTTCGAACCTAGCTGAGAATCTGGCGTGATGTGCTCCCCTGGGAATTTTCTTTCGAACTGAACGTCAGAAAGACAGACAGGTAGATGGATAAATAGATTGGTAGATAGATACATAGATAGTTAGATAGATAGATAGATAGGTAGGTAGATTGATAGATAGACAGACAGATAGATACATAGGTAGATAGATATAGACAGACAGGTAGATAGATATATAGCTGGATAGTGTCACAAACAGACAGGCAGGCGGATAGATAGATGTATGAATATACAGTAATTGATAGATAGATAGATGAGATGATTAAAAAGTCATATTGCAAATACACTCACCTAGTGTGGTTAATGAATAGGCATCATGACAACTAATTCCTGCAATAAAATTTACCCCGTAAATAACATTATAGTTTATCTTTTCACGAGATTCCATTGGACTTGGCAACATGTTATTGCTTAACTAGTGTGGTCTTTTACATAAAACTTGAATATGTAATATCCATGGCCTTATCAAATATTCATTTTTTTTAAACTTTATCAGACAATGAGAGTTTTTTGTAGATATAAGTTTTGTGTGTTCGTTTAACCGCACTTGATTGTTGATTATTTTAGGAAAGAGGCGGGGGAGTGGGAGGGGGAGGGGGGGAAGGGAGAAGGAGAGGGAAAGGGAGATGGGGAGGGAGGAGGGAGGGGGAGGGGGAGGGGGAGGAATAGGGAACAGGAAGGAATAGATAGATAGAGGGATAGATAGACTAAGAGAGAGAGAGAAAGAGAGAGAGAGAGAGAGAGAGAGAGAGAGAGAGAGAGAGAGAGAGAGAGAGAGAGAGAGAGAGAGAGAGAGAGAGAGAGAGAGAGAGAGAGAGAGAGAATGAAAGAAAAAAAGAATTTGAACAAAAAAAAAGAAAGAGAAAGAGAGTCAGAGACCGACAGGCAGACACAATAATTTTCCCAGCAAGTCATGGCTGAACTACAAGAGTTACAAACTCCCTCCGGACGCCATCTTAGATCATCTGCTATTCGCACTCTCGTCTGCAATTCGCACTTTCGTCTCGCCCAAGTCACGTGACAAAACCGCTTCCGACTTCCGTGCTTTCTCATTTCATTGTATTTTTTGTGGTCTGTCTCCGCCATCACATAATCTAGGAAAAGATTGTAGATAAGAAAAGTTCCTGTCTCCTTTGCTTTTCTCTTTTTTTTTATTCTTCTTTTTCGTTTTCTTGTTCTCTTCCTCATTCTTTCTCCTTCTCCTTCTTTTTCTTCTCCCTATGCTTCTAACAGTAAGAATATTAGTACTAATAATACTACTGGTAATTCTAATATTAATCAAGATAATGATAAAATTATAATACTAATAATAGCGCACCAGCGCACCGAACTCAACTCCATGATAATAATGATACTACTCAGTAATAACAATAATAACAATAATGAGAACAATGCTAATGCCATTGCTAATAATAATAATAATAATAATAATAATAACAATAATAATAATAATAATAATAATAATAACAACAACAACAACAACAACAACAACAACAATAATAATAATAATAATAATAATAATAATAATAATAATAATTAATAATATTATCATCATATTATCATATTATGTTATCATCAGGATAAAGCTGATAACATAAATAAAAATGATTATGATAATGAGTAAATTAATCAATACAAATACAGTACATACCTCAGATGAATAAAACGAAAAAAAAATCTACATAAGATATTTTGCCACAACAACATTTTCCCTCTCTCTCTCTCTCTCTCCTTCACATAAAAAAATCCCTTTATAAATATCAAAATTATTTATAAAGATGGAATTACGTGGTAACCAGACTAATAACAATGTCATGAGTCGACCACGCCATGAATTCGCGTTTCGTCATTTGTTTTTATGACATTTTTGGGTTAAGAAAAAAAATGTTATAATAAAATAAAAATAAAAAAGGGTGTTTCTAACGGATTCTGTTTTTGTTTCGTCATTTTCTCTACCTTTTTTATTAGATTTTTTTTTTTTTCTTTTTTTTTTTTTTTTTTTGGGGGGGGGTGTTCAGTTGTCACTTCTTTCCATCTGTTTTCCTGTTATTTATTTTTATATATATATATATATATATATATATATATATATATATATATATATATATATATATTACAGTCTCTACCTTTTTATCGATGTTAATTGAAATCGACTAGACTTATGTCTTACATAACATTTCCTCTGTAAATAATCGAAAAAAATTCCTGTCATTAATTTCTTCCTCCGCCCTGTCATCCTGTCATACCAAACTCCTTTTCCGCAGGCACGGTGCTGGTCATCGTGAGCTTCCCCTTCATCTACAGCAACTGCCTGGGGTGCGAAGACCTGGACCAGTGGTCGCAGCTCGCCTACTACAGCATCTTCGTGTGCATCTTCCAGTTCGGGTGGGCGTGCGTCCAGATCTCCCACCTGGCGCTCATCCCCGACCTCACCTCCAAGAAGCACCAGCGCACCGAACTCAACTCCATCAGGTCGGCACGAGTTTTATGGATATATGAATGTTTGCATATATGTTTGTGTGTGTGTGTGTGTGTGTGTGTGTGTGTGTGTGTGTGTGTGTGTGTGTGTGTGTGTGTGTGTGTGTGTGTGTGTGTGTGTGTGTGTGTGTGTGTGTGTGTGTGTGTGTGTGTGTGTGCATCTATCTATCTATTTATCCTTACGTGGGCACGTATGTATGTATTACTACCTGCACTTTCCAAATGAATATTAAAAAAAAAAAAACATGCATGACCTAACATCCAATGATAGACGTCAACAACACCACCCCCCCTTCCAACAGGTACGCATTCACGGTGCTCTCCAACCTCACCGTCTTCACCATCACCTTCTTCGTCCTGAACACGGGCGCCTCGAGCTCCCAGAACACGGACGGTAACTGCACCCTGACCACGAGTCCGAGTCCGAACCCGACGTCGAATCCGATCCTCAGTTCGGGAATGGTTCGGGCCGACGAGTGTTCGAGCACGGAGACTATCGGACCCGAAGATGCGAACAAGTTCAGGGTAAGGGGTCGGCGGCTTCGTGTTTCGGGCTTTATTTCCCCCTGATATTTTTTTTTATATATTTTTGTTTTCGAATATGACGTTGGGTTATTGAATATCATTTATGTATCGAAGGACTCGATGGATAGTTATACCTCTTAAATAATTCATCATAACGAGCCTGTCTACCCTGCAGAACATCGCCCTCATCTGCGTGGGCGTGGGAGCTGCCTTCTCCCTCATCTTCCACCTGGGAGTCCGGGAGCCGCCCTACATCCCTTCCAAAGAGCAGGATATTGTGTCTGTCGAGGACCAAGGAACCAAGAAGCAACAACCGAGGAAGATGAAGAAGGTGGACTGGTTCAAGGAACTTCCCTTCTACCAGATTGCTGTGCTCTACATGGCCACCCGACTCTACGTTAATTTGTACCAGGTGGGTGTATACGAAGGAAAGGAGAGGGTGATGACAAAGGAAGGGAGGGAGAAATTCTAGTTTGAGAGGGAGAGAGAGAGAGAGAGAGAGAGAGAGAGAGAGAGAGAGAGAGAGAGAGAGAGAGAGAGAGAGAGAGAGAGAGAGAGAGAGAGAGAGAGAGAGAGAGTTTTTTTTTTGTATTCAGCTAGTTTATGCATATTTTCGACGTTTTCACTTACATTAGATTGTATGAAACAATGTGACGGATAAATTTAAGAATGCATTATTCATCAGTGTAAAAAAATGTAAATAAGGATTCGAAAGAACATTTCCATCAAATGTACATAAAATACACACCACACAATTATGTAATGAAATATGGAAAAGAAATTCACACATATTGCATTTCACATTCACTAATTTAGATTCATACAATCTTCCACATCCCTTGCAATTAATTTTCTTCGTGCAACTTATAGCTTATAGCTGGTATTACAGAAATAGACATTTTCCCATTTATCTCGCAAAAGTATACTCCCTCACAGAAGGTGCCTGGCATTAAGTAAACTATAGTTATCCCTGTTTCTATCAAAAAGGTGTACATCCCCCTGTACGTGCAAGAGACTCTGAGTCTGAGCGAGACGTTCATCGCCACCGTGCCGTTCGCGATGTACCTGGCGGGCTTCCTCGGCTCGCTGGTCATGAAGGAGATCAACAAGAAGATAGGGAGGAAGGTAAGGGCGGACGAGCCGTTGCCGTCGCAGGGGTTCTCGGCGATTGTGTCATTTGGTGTTATTGCTATAACCGATTTCTATGTTTTGGTGTTTATGTTCAGTATTATTCGATGTGATTACTGTTATTATAATCATTATTATTGTTGTCAGGCATGATTATAATGATCATTATTATCACCATAAATGATGTTACATTATCATTATCATTTTACGGCTTTTCTACAGAGGACCTTCGCCCTTGGTTGCTTGGTTGGTATCGCCGGCTGCCTGTGGGTGTGGTTCGGCCAGGGCGACTACTACGTGCAGTGGGGCATCTTCCTGGTGGCGACGCTGCTGGGTATTGGAGGCTCGACCCTCCTCATCACCTCCCTGTCCATCACCGCCGACCTCATCGGCAGCAACGTCGAAGGAGGAGCTTTTGTCTACGGCTTCATGAGTCTCGTCGACAAGTTCTCCAACGGTATCATTATCATGATCATCCAGGACTCCAACCCCGAAGAGTAAGTGACGAAGGAGCGTTTTATTCCCGTTATTTTCTTTCGAATTAGTTTAGTTCATTTTCATATCCATCATTACCATCGTTGTCGCCATTATACATATATTTTTATAATAGAAAATGTCACAAAATATCCCATTTCTCTCAATCATGTATTTTACCCTTCGCTCCTCGCAGGTCGTGGTACTACCGCAGTGTGATCACCTTTGCCTGTGGAGCGTCATGTGTCCTGGGTCTCCTCGTCACCATTTCCCTCATCAACGTCAAAGTCGGCCGGAGACGAGGTACAGTGAAGTGAAATGAAGCATAACCACAGTAATAAAAGTATACTGTGGTGCTTCGTGTTATAGTAGATTGCTCATCAGATGGTAATATTGAAATGGGCAGTTTTTAATCAAATTCGGATAATAATGTGAAAAAAGAATTGCATCGGTTCTTCTTCATCCGTTTATCTATTATAAATCCCTGTTCAAATTGACATCAAAGATTAACAGGTTTTGCCGTCTGAGGAAGAGGCTAGTCTATATCGAAACGCCCCTCTGTATTGTTTCCTTTATCATACTGGACGTTTCTCATTTCATTTTGTTTTTTAAATTAGTTTTAAAGATGATGAACATGGATATCTGCATTCTAGTAATTCTTTGGTTGCTAGGATGCAGGTTTTCGGAAGTGCACAGAGTATGAATTTTATGTATGCAAAGAAATGATTCTCTGAATTCCCAATTTTATTGTTAGAAATGGCCGCTGGGGGATCATTTTTGTTCTGTGAATAATTAATGTTCTTAGGCCAAACAACCTATTCTGTATCCCTTTATAGTTATAGGCTTTGCATATTATGAACGATAAAAGTAAGGATCACTAAGCTTTGAAGGCTAAAATTTATTTTCCATTACTATTAAAAACCCGACTTAAAAAAGGAAAAAGGTGAATATCCTATTTTTGTGGTGACCAATGACCGCATTGTTTACACCCGCAGGAGAATCGATTGTCCTGGACATCCTAGAGGAGCCAGACACGCTCGAAGAGGAGGGTGGAATCGACAACCCCGCGCTGACCATCATCTCCGACGGCAAGATCCCGATGGACGTCAAGCCCAACGCGTGCCAACTCAGAGCCGAGGACAATCCCAGCATGTGCCAGCTCGGCTTGAAGGACATCCCCGCTCTGTGCCCGAAAGAAAACTCCGAAAAGGCAGAAGAACTAGAAACGAAACGCGACGGATAGATTTATAGTTCGAAAAAAAGCATTATGTGAAGTGCTAATGCAAACAGAGAAAAGACGTACAAGCGCATTAGTTATGATGACATTTCCAGTGAGGAACGATCGCGTAATGCAGGTTAGGAGAAGGCGGCTGTATAATGGTTACGTAAATGACCAAAAATGTTATCGCTTTGATAAAATGGCAGAAAAAAACAACCGCACAGTTTAGGTTCATGAAAAGATGATAACAGTTTCGAAATCCTAGATTAAGGAAGATTTCGGAAATGTTGCTTCATCTTTCAATCTATTTTGTGCTTAAGATTTTTTTTTTCTGCCTTACTGGTCACGCGTTGATATCACTCGGCCGTGACCATGTGTTTCTACAACCAGGACACCGTGAAGTGCCTAGGATCTTGGTGAGGTGCTAGAAACTACGTACGGGCTATCAGTTCGTACCAGCACTCGACCGAAGCTGTGATCTAGAAATCTGAGAAGCGGGAAATACGTGAATCAGCAGCACAGTTAGCCATTGGATATGTAATCGTACTGTTGACGGCATATTGACTGTTTTTCTTCTCTATGTTATGTATGCCGTAGTGATTTGTTTTATTGTTTTCTAACATTAAAAGATCACTATTCTACAAATATACCTAAGATTTAATACTTACGTTGGCCTCGAGAGTGATAAGCTATCTGGACATAACACTAATTTTTTATCATCTCACAGTACGCCCGGACATTATCAAATCAAACAGAAAGACAAGGTAAAGAAATTTCACAAACGAGACATTTCTGTGATGAAATATAGAGGACTTCCAATGTGTAATTTCTTCCAATAGATAGCTGGAAAAGGGTTATCGCTTTGTAATGGTGATAACGCCAGGTCTTTCAGATTATTTAGGTAACGGTACTAGTAAATAGGTTAACCACTTTCAACTTTCAAAACATCAAATCTTTATCAACTTTATCTCATTCACTCATACGTTTCATTTCATGCAGATTAAGAGGATTGTCAAGTATCGTTCGCAAGTAATTATTTCGATCGTGAAAGCTTTTTCCTTGACACTCATGCACGCGTTCATTCTTTCTCATACATCGCTCAACAACAGGTTCTCTCTCTCTCTCTCTCTCTCTCTCTCTCTCTCTCTCTCTCTCTCTCTCTCTCTCTCTCTCTCTCTCTCTCTCTCTCTCTCTCTCTCTCTCTCTCATGTACACATATAGGTGCCATGGCAGTATTTAGAGAAGTATATAGCTATGAGATGTATTCGTCAATGCATTTATATATGAAATTATTCTAGAAATCATAATGACAGAATATTGATTTTTATACTTATTTATGTATTGTCACTTAGATTTAAGATTTTTTTTTCGCCAACATCGTTTTGGTGTTTTATGCATTTTATGATTTGTTTTTAAATATAATTACATAGATATATTTTTCGTTTTCTTTCTATAACATTCCCTGAAACATTGAACTACTTCAAAATAAATAAAATTAGTAGTCATGAATATATGTATATATACATATATATATATGTATATATATATATATATATATATATATATATATATATATATATATATATATGTATATACATATATATATTATATACACATATATATATATATATATATATATATATATATATATATATATATATATATATATATATATATATATATATATGCCTTTACCATATACCTTTTCCGTGGCCAGTTTTAAGAAGTGCATCTTTTTGATAAATTGACCCTCAAGAAGAACTTAGTAGATGTATATATAAACACTTTCTTCTTTTTCATTACAACTCCTGCATTTTTTTGGTTCATATCTATAATGCCCAAAGACTGGAAGCCTTAAGCCCTAAATTAAATCAGCTGGCAAACATAGCAGCTAAATTCAAGTCCAGAGCAAATGCTTATATATGATAAGTCCATAAGATGATGTTTTGTAAAAAGGAAATCGTGAGACTGAATGGTGAATTATTAATTCATTAATCATGTCCGTGATTCGGATGCTTCCAAGGCGGCCGATAGAGTGCTTACTTTTCAAGATGCTTATTCAATCATTGTCATCGACCAGTTTGGAATGTATGGACTTCTTATAATCTCCACATCCGTTTCATGTATTCGGTCATGTAGGGGCAAGTGATTATAACTCTAGGGTCTTTTTCTTTGTTCCTTTGACATTATTTCTCTTGATGATTCATTTTTCTCCACTATGAAGCATTTTTACCACCTATCGAAACAGTGGGTTTATGTGGTGTCGTTGGACATGCAATTTCTGCTCCGAAGATATCCAGATATCGTAAACTGTAAAATATGCACAGACAGCAAAGTCAGAAGTTAATTCACACAACAAATGTTAGTTACTAAGAAAACTGGTGAAGTATGAGACCTGCAAAGTTACCAAAATTTTTTAAGCATGAGGACATCACTTTGATTTGCGACTGGAATATGGGGGGAAAACAGATGCAGAAAAGAGCTAACGTCCATGTAAGTTCATCGCAGAACAACACTTTATTACTGAAACTAAATATGCCTAAAAGACAACTAAAGATCTGGAAGTCAAGAAGTAAAGAGTGATTTCAAGTGTATGAAGAGGGTGTCCAATAAGTTAGGGGTCGGGGAAGTGAGAATAAGAGTGGAAAAGCAGAGGTACGGGCTAGTGTTAAACGGAGACAGGATAGTAGAATGTACGGGACTGGACGGGGAACATTGCATAAGGAGCATAGATGTGGAACGGATTGTCACATGAGATAGGAATGTGTTGAGGCGAGTTTGGCCAATGCATAAGCGGGCAAGAGCAGTTCCCCTTTCTATTTTTATGGGAAGGTATTTACCAAGAGGAGATGGAAGGATTTATGTTATGAAGTTTATCAGTGCTAAGGCTAGACCAGAAAGACTGCCAGCGGGTGAAGAGGAAGGTTTTGAAGTGGGGGTCGTAGTCAGAGGCTGGTATATGTCTGACTTTAGTGTATCAGGGGAAACAGAGGAGCAGAAACGAAAGGAAGGTGTAAGCGGGTAATTATAGGTAGAAAAGGGTAGGGTTCGGAGGTGAGGATAAGGTGAATGGGAGAGACACAGAAAGGAGTAGGTGGGCGTGGTGAGGTAAAGGTAGGAAGAAGGGACTGAGGGACATTTAGCTTAGAGAGAAAGAATTGATGAAAACGTGCATAGATAGCTCCGCAGAGAGAGAAGGGCATTGTGTCGAGAAAGGGGAGGTAGTCCTGATTCAGTGTACTGGCTCTCAGCTGGAGAGGAGCGAAAGGCGCCTAGGGCTAAGCGTAGACCACAGTGGTGGATAGTATCAAGGTGAGTCAGAAGAGAGGTAGAGGCAGAAAAAAAGATATGACAGCCATAATCAAAAGTGAAAAGGATCAGTAAGGTATGGAGATAGAGGAGAGTTTTGCGGTCTGAACTCTAGGATATATAAGAAAGAGTCTGTAGATGTCGGAGGTAGCGGCGGCTTTTCTTTTTGATGTAGAGGATGTAGTTTAGAGTCAAAAATGACTCCGAGGAATTTGCCTGAGGAACGGAAGTGGAGAGGGGTATTGTATAAAAAGAGTGGAGGTTGAGTACTTATACGAGATCGAGAAAAAGGGATGGAGAAGGATTTGGAAGTCAGTGGCCCAGGAAGAGATTTAAGATATTGCAGAATGGATTAATTAAAGGAGAATAGGTACAGAAGGGCCTGATGTATAATGATAAAACGATCTACATACAGGGAGGATCGGATACCTGGTGGTAGTACCGAAATTAAGTTGTTTACGGCTAGAAGGAATAATATGGTGCTAAGTACACTCTCTTGTGGGACACCTTTATATTGAGGAAAAGATGAGGAAGCTGAAGAGGCAAATTTGACTCAGAAGTTACGACTGGTAAGGAGAGATTCAATAAATACACACATGTTCCCTCGTGTGCCATGAGAGGATAGCTGTCTCAGAAGGTGGTATCGCCATGTGATAACATGCCTTTTCCAGGTTATAGAAAACATCTAAGACTTAGTGATGGCGCGCAAAGGCATATGTAATTTTCTAAATGTGCAAGAGGGTCAGTTGTGCTTCGACCACGACAGAATCCAAATTGAAAAGATAGAAGGTTGTTGGATGTATGACATCAAATTAGTAGTAGATTGACCACTCTTTCTAGCAATTTGTAAAAACAGCTACTCAGAGCAATGAGGGAGGGTGCCGGATTTATTAGGTTTAAGGAAAGATTGGATAAGTGATTCAAGCCAGTGAAGAGGAAAGTTTCCACTGCTCCAAATATTGTTGAAGATTGTCAGTAGGAAGGATAAGGAAATAGATGGAAGATATCGTGTCGTCAGGGCCTTCATGTGTGTAGTAGCAAGACTGTAAGGCAGAGCTCAGTAGAGGAAAAGGGGACATTGTAGAGCTCTGTAGAGTAGGAGAAGACGGGAGTGTGTTTCATTGTTGTTTTAATAGAATAGAAGTGGGGAGAAAGGTGAGAGCTACTAATGACTTGGCTGAAATCTGCAGCAAGTTCAGTAGCAATTTGAAATGGTTCAGAAATGAGTGTTGCGGATATGGAGGACTGAGGCAGGATGAGGGGGGGTGTTTCCCTGATAGGTTATGGATTCGACGCCTTACTGTAGTTATAGGTGTGCAGGAGGTAATAGTGGAGACGTCATTTTGCCAGCTGTTTTAAGTGAGATTCAGATTGTGTGGCGTAGTTGAGCTCTTTTAGAATTGATAAGGGCTGATGATTGGCTGGGGGCATTTCGCATGTAGCGATAACTACCCCATGCTATAACTAAAGCGTTTTGGAGCACTCAGTATTCCACCATGAAGTACATTTAAATGTGCATGGTCGGGAAATTCGGGGAATGGCTGTGAATGCAGCACTCAGGACAGTGACTGTGAAATGAGAAAGAAAGTCTTGATGTGGAAAAGAAGGAAGAGGGAGGAAGAGGGAGAGTAGAGAGGAGGTAAAAGTACGCCAGTCTGTTCTATCAAAGCACCATCCTGGGGGGTTGGGGAGCGGGACATAGGAAGTAGAGGAGGAGTAAAGTGGTCACTGTAGGGAAGCTGGTCCAGAACTGACCAATGAAGTCTAGATGAAGGGAAGGTCGAGGGTAGGGGGAATATGTGGAGGAAGAGGATGGATGTCAGCGGTTACTTTGAATGAAGCAAAAAGATCAAAAGAAGAGTCAAGGGTTGGTAAACCAGAGGAGTTAAATTCAGAGAGGCTAGTTGATAAATGAGAAAGCCTTAATGCCCCTAATAAGGGTACAAGGTCTTCATTACTGGCCCTGGTAAGATAAAAAGTCCACCCCTCAGGGTCCCCATGAGGGGGAAGGGCTGGACAATTAACCAAGAGATTACTGTGCCCATGGCTCCTTGAGGCTCTAATGACTGGCACAAAATCATCCTTTCATCCTTTCAACACAGCTCTCACACCTTAGGAAATGGACAGGAGAAGAAGGGAAGAAGAAAAGACCATGTAAAATTAGTTAAGTCGAGGGCTGAGGCTCAAGGTAAGGAAGACTCCTAGCATTGGGCCTCAGTCCCCATCTTCTAAGCCCCCACAACAACAAAGTACAAAAGATTAGGGGGGGAAAAGAGATAAAGGTGAAATATGAAACAGACGTAAGTTGCATACATGGATTCCTCATGTGTCCCAGAAGAGGAATCCATCAGCATCAAAAACTGCTGCTGCATGGATTACCGGGGACAGAACAATGAAAGGCCTTGTCTTCTACAAGTACAAATTCTTGCAAGATCTGAAACTTGAGGTAACTGTTGCAGCTAGCTTGTCAGCACCATGCACAGGAATGGAATTCTTCTGAACGCTCAAGGGAAACTGACATGTCATGAAAACAACAGACATCAGACTGCTTCCAGAGTATTCTACCAAAGACATGCAATACAAAACGGAAGCATGGGAACAAGGTCCGAAGGCATGAAAAACACAAAACTATATGTGATCAAAGACACAAAATGAATAAGACACTTTATCAGAAGTCCATGCTATTTGTCTGAGTTAATAATGATCCACAGAATAACCATCCCTGGAGAATGACATCTGGGTCTGATCACGAGGCATATATATATATATATATATATATATATATCATGGATCTCTCTCTCTCTATATATATATGTGTGTGTGTGTGTGTGTGTGTGTGTGTGTGTGTGTGTGTGTGTGTGTGTGTGTGTGTGTGTGTGTGTGTGTGTGTGTGTGTATATATATCTACATATACATATTATATATATATATATATATATATATATATATATATATATATATATATATATATATATATATATATATATATATATATATATGTATATATATATATATATATGTATATATATATATATATATATATATATATATATATATATATATATATATAGAAGAGAGAGAGAGAGAGAGAGAGAGAGAGAGAGAGAGAGAGAGAGAGAGAGAGAGAGAGAGAGAGAGAGAGAGAGAGACAGACAGATAGATAGATAGATAAACATATATGAATCCTAGTAAAGAATGATCTTGAGATTGTTCTGTTTCAAGGCTTTTTTATTTAAGCAATCACTAGGAAACAAGCACACTTTCACACTATTACCAATTTAAGCCCTTTTTTTCCAACTGCAAGGTTAAACAAAAGCATATATATAAATAGATCTTTATTGAAGTTTTCATCAGACTTCACTGATATACATACAATTCAGGAAACTTTCATATATATATATATATATATATATATATATATATATATATATATATATATATATAAATATATATATATATATATATATATATATATATATATATATATATATATATATATATATATATATATATATATATATATATGTAGATGAATATTTGTCTTTTTTTTATAACTTTTTTTTTTTGTAGTGTCCAGTAAATTACAATATTGAAAAATTAATATTCAGCATATAATTATTCAAATAACATGCTACATTATTTATGAGCAACTGAATAAATGCCTTTCAGCACCATTACAAATCAAGAGATGAAAATTGCATTGCTTTTGTGAGCAAGGTAATTCACCAGTTAAAATATCTAGCGGAAAAAAAAAGATAAAAGTACAGCATCAGAATTACACAATAACATAACACTAAACCTCAGGCTTAAAATCTCCTTTCAATACTCACAAGGAAGACGTTTTCGTGAACATACGGTGTAAATGACCACAGTCAGAGTACAGAACTGCGTATATGACAACACCCTTGATAAGAGCACCTTCCTGGCACTATATAAGCTTTTAAAGCTGTCATATATATATTTTTTTCCATCTTACTGACATATGAAGAACAGCCATCTAAAACATAATACTATAAAATCTGGCAGCAATTATCATAATACATTATGATAGTTGTGTTATCATTATCATTACTATTAAAGTATTTAAACTGAAGTACTAAAATACCTATGAAAAAATGAGATAATTTAATCAAAATACAAACAATAACAATAATAATGATAATAATAACAAAAAATAATAATGTCAAAGAAAAACTAACATAGTCAATGCACTCATAAAAAAAATATATATATAAAGATTGCCAGTTTCCTATATTCTTTCCTTTAAACTAGTTAGGCTAGATTTATTGGGCAATGTTTAAAAATAGAAAAGAAGACAATCAAATGGGGGAAAAAAAAACAACTCCTTAAAAAATAGACTAGTATACCCTGCATGTAGTTATTTATTTAATTTTACCCTCCTGTCATCTGAGTAAACATAAAAAGGGTTGAAAAAGAAAGTAAAAAAATTCTTCCCTGATTTCCAAAACACGAGAGGAGAAACCTGTATGCATGGAATGATACCGTGAATAAAATCTATCTCACCATCACTCCATTAAATACAGTTGTAAATATATTTCTGAATGTGACACATGCACATTACCACTAAAGCTTATGAACTGAACTTTTCTTTTTCTTTCTTCTTTTTACTTATTTTTTTTCAGATATTTCTATTTTTCTTACTGCCTGAAATGTAACAATGATATAATATTTACAACACAGAAATTTTTAAAAGGGTATGCATCATTAGGAAGGAGTTTATAATGTTTTTAAATGTGATAACTATTAGTAATGGTATAAACTTGACTGTTTCCTTTACTACATATGGTTACTACTTGTTATTGCTGCCATTGGTATTAGAATTACTTCCTTCAATACAATCTTACAATGAAATTAACCTAAAGTTTAGGAAAAAATTGAGAAAAAAAAAGAATTAAGCAAATCCCTTGTGCTATTTTCATTAACATAAAAATACTCACAATTACAACTAACCACCTCATTTACGATAACAGTAAAGACCTGGATCACATGAGGAAAACTAGTTAATTTTCTTCACAACTTCATGAGTATGTTCTCTAAATAAGACCTCTAAGACTATATTAATTACACTTAAGAGGCTGTTGTCACTTATCACATTTCCTAACCTTACTCTACAGTATTGCTTGGATTCAATTTAATATGCTAAATCTCATTTTGCTTTCCCAAGAACTGAACTGCATTAGCTAATTTAGCTTATGTATATACACGTGTCTACACATGCACACACAAACACATGCATGCAACACATGCCCACGTGCACACACACATGCATACACACACACATCATATTTGAATGCATGAACATACTGTATGAATCTGAATGAATGGCTATTGTCACATTCTAGATGTTACTACTTATATGTTCTCTAACTGCTCATAATCTTTTTTCACTAGATTGATTGCACAGCTTTGCAAATTGGAAACAGGATCCTGTGTGCTATATATCTTCCTTATAAACAATAAGGAATCTAATTTAAATCACAAATGTTTTTGTGACCTTCTCAATTTGCATGTTTTGTGTATTTCATAATTTTGTATGAAAAAAGTCTTTTTAACTGAAATACCTCACTGTACACTATAGTCACTCTCATACACAAACTTCCTTAGTTGTTTTTTTTGTGATTTGAGAATATTTCCCTAAATCAAATCTTTCTCACACAATGCACCAACTGGTATGACTGGCTAGACTGTATCTAGGGTCAAAGCTAGAATTTGCTTTCAATTTTCTGCCTACATCATCAAGTGACAAGGCATTATACATTTCATTACTCAAGTCACTTTATTTTGTTTTTGAGGAGCGTACATGTTTTTTTTTCCACAGGAGTGACAATATTGTAAACAACATAATCTTTCTTAGGAAGTATATAGTTCATATGTATACAAATGTAATGTACATATATATCATACATCATAATAACTGGAATCTAAATATTGTATTCAGTTCCTTAAAACTTAAAACATGTATTTTGCATATCAATATGCTGATGCAGTTATTTAGCATCAAAGTTTAAGCCACTAAATAACCGCCACATATATAGGCAATCACAACTACGTCAGCAATCAAGCTATTTGCCTTTTCTCCATCTTCAATACCCACTGCAACATAGCATTACAGAACCAAGTGTTACACCTGCTTAACTACTTGACTGGAAATATGGGAAAGTTTCCCACTACATATAACAGATATGGCTAAATCATTAGAAACACTTTGACTAATGCTGGTCATTTGCTTTTTTTACCCATTTGAATACTCTAATTACCCCACGACAAAGCTTTTACCCACACTAAACCAAGCTACACATCAGATGCCTTGCACAGTCAGCTGCTTAACCCAATCACGACTGATATACCTACTGTCCCCTACATTTTTTTGTGAATTTTGTTACATACAAATGGCTCCACATGTGCACAGCAACCAAGGAGTCTACGAGTAGGCCTTAGTGACCAGTCCTGATTTCCCCATTCCTTGAAATTGTGGAAAAATGTGTTTTCTTTCTAATTGTATTGATATTGATACTGTTATTTTTCTTATTGATATGATTATTAAGTTGTTATCAAAATCTAGGTACTATTAAAGACAATGAAATAATACAAGAGAAACTTTTCAAATATCAAGGAAAAGAGTAAACAGGTGAGATAGGTAGGACTAATAACCGACTCCTTGGTGACCAAGTATTTGTAGAGCCATCTATGTGTAAATACAGTAAATAAACTTATATTACAGTGGGCACGGCATGTACTCTTGTCATCAATGAATAATCAAAATCACAGAAAACATGTTCTCCAAGGTATCTATGATTTAGGATGCAGCAAATTCATTTTTTTCAATGAACAAGTACCTTGACTGACTGTAACTTTTCAGTGGCCACTGCCAGGCCAAACAAGAGAATGACTGTATAACTACACAATATAGAGCAGGCTGAACTGTACATGGCATGAATACTGGCCACCCAGCATATGTCATGGCAAGAACAGATGCCACCCGGCATACACTTCACTGTATACAATAATTACCACGCCAAGTATGCTTGTTTGTTTTTTTCTCTATCCTAACTCCTTTGTTTAAAATCCTTAGTTTATTTTTCAAGACTTAGTTACCTGTATCTTTTGGTTGAAAATTACACAGAAACACAAGTCACTTATAATAACATATTGTTATCATTATTAGGAACAACAGTAATAACAATAATAACAGTAGTATATAAATTTTAAAAACACTAACAGTAATATTAATAATAATGATAATGATAATGATAATGATAATGATAATAATAATAATAATAATAATAGTAACAATAATTATAATAGTAATAATAATTATAATAATAATAATCTTACATGGCACATATAAAATAAAAATAAAATAAAAGAAGGAACATGTTAAAACTGCAATATTTACAAAACCAGGTTAAAGAAGGTACAGAAAACGCTCCTTCATTAAAACATGTACAAATTAACTACAGTATATATATTTCCTACTGAATTTGCAGAAGACCAGTTCTCAAAAGTTTCTAATAATATGGCCACTACTGTATGTTGTACTATGACTTGGACAGCAACAATGATGAAGCCCATAAAACAGAATCTATGAGCTATTCTGGGTAAGACACACTGTAGGAGATACTACCTCACTACACAATGGCATAGTTGATGAGGCATAACACAGACATCTTCACTAAAAGAAGATGTTTATTATTGTATATTCTACCCTATATCTTGGAAATCTCTCTAATTCTCTTGTAATATACCTTTTCATCACTGAATTTGTTATATCAATCTATGATGCTATCTGCCATTCACAAGTTGCTCTAAGAATATTTTGAGTGTATCAAAGGTGGCGAAGCTGATGCCCACGGCAATAGGTCCTTTTATCCAATTCATTGAAAGACCTTTGTAGAGACCATGGACTAAGCCTTCCTCTCTGTAATAAAATAATTTTGTAGAAGAACTTTTATACACTATATAAATAAGTAATCTTTATCATATCTGGGAAAAAGCTTATTTCGTGAATATAGTACATGTTTACCATCAAAATATTTGATGTTACATTTAAAGGTTTACACATGAGACTAAGAACAGCTTCATTACTAATATAGAATATCCCTATAGGCTATCACTTCCTAAGTTCGAAAGTCTATAAACCCATAACTGAATCATTTTTATCCAAAGTGATCTAAACTCTCTAAAGAAAGAAAACAAATGAACTAACCTGTAAACTTTGACTAGAGTTCCAATAATTGTATTATAGGAATTCCCATTCCCAGTGACCTTTGCTGTCTGCATCCTTCTTCGAACGATGTCTAGCGGGTATGAAGAAGACTGCCCAACCAATCCTGCCACAGCGCCAAACATCATTCTTTCCAAAGGATTTGGCTTTTCTTTGTCAGAGTGAGCTGTGGATAATGATATTTGTATATATTATTCTTGTCAAGAAAGAAAGAAAAAAAAAAAGAAAGAAAAAAAACTTTCATATGAAAATCATTTTCAAAAATTCATAATGTGTACTTTCTGATATTCTGAATGTTTTTTATTCTACATTACTTCCATAATGATAAAACAATACAAAATTTATATCAACAATATTCCCTACCACTGTGATAGCTCTTCAGGGTTTCATATATTCCAAAGCTGGTGCCTGCATATGGTATGACTCCTATCAAAGTTGGAGTCAAGCCTCTATACAAAGTTAGAGGCCCCTCATTTTTCCAGATTTTTACAAATACCTAGAAAATAAAGACAATACATTAAAATACATAATAATCTCATGAAAAAATGTTGCTTTAGTATAGTCACACAGTTTTGAATGTCAAACTGTGTCACAATAAGACTGTACCTCCATGAGAGAAGAATAAGTGCCCTTGCGAGTCACTGCCATCCTAGCCCTGGCCATGTCCAGTGGATAGGTCAGGAACTGGGAGGTCACTCCAGCTAGTGATCCAGCCAGGAATCTCATTGATGATGGAGTACTAGGGGATATACAACACATCAGAGAGGATAGCTATTACCTAATATGATGTATTTATATTACTTCCTAATGCTGTATGTTAACCTCTCCTGAATAAGATAGAGATAACATGACTTCTAGTAATTTTATTCCCATTTGGAGACTTCAACATGTCCATGAATAAGCAATATAATAACTAGATGTGTTAGGTAGGAGTTGATTTAAGAGAGTTTATAATGACTTAATTATACTTTATCAGAGTATTACAAAAAAAATCTATGAAAAGAGCAGTCGTAAAAAAAAAATTGTACTCACTCTCGATCAGTTTTATCAATTTGTAAGAGCTTCTTATACTGTTCGTGAGCTGTGAACTGAATGGCAGCATAAGGAATAATACGAGCCATGGTGGCAGAATTCCCACGCCAAAGACTAAGTAGTCCTTCTGATTTATAACATTCAACCAAAAACCTCAGTGCATATCGTGCGGAAAACTTCTTGTTCGTTGCCTGAAAATGTGAAATACCACAGTTATAGCATTTCCATACATAGGCAATTAAGTCTATGAAAAGAAATCCCCAAGGCAATCTTAAATCATAGATATCTTTATTCAAATATTTGGCACTGCCTGCAAGACATAAATTTACATTTCCTATAATCCTTCATGTTTTAGTCACTATGAAGATTTGTTAACTTTTATTCTAAAAATCTAGAACAACAATAAGGAATAGACATTGAAAAATGTTCTGGAATGTTCAGAAATTGGTCTTCAGAATCTACACTTCACATCTTCAAACAAAACCATAACTGCATGGACATCATATCTTATGCATAACTCCAAAATATGTTCTTATTCATATAAGTACCTGGAAGTTAATTTTCGTCCTATCCAGTGGAGCGATGGTCGTCTTGGCAAGCCCTCCTGCCACGGCACCAACCACCAGGGTAATGAAGACCTGGGTGTGTGACCCAACCTGTGAATCAAGACGAGTTCAATTATGCTGAAGGAATTTGCTAATTATGAGTGTAAAATTTGTAAGTATATAATAGCTACTTGAAGAAAACAGGGGTGTAGAGTTTCCTTAATCTGAATACAGAGAGTGTATTGTATTAGCACAAATATGCAAAATACCAAGTAGTATAACAACAGACATAGGAACAGAAAAACTGAAATGCAAATAATCCAGCAAATGAAAAAATGAAAAACAAGACAAGACAGAAATCAGAAAGTATCACCATACACTAATCAGATTTTGTGATTCACCGGATGAAATAATACAAACAGATGGAGAATCCTCTATATTTTCTCAACCTCAAACATCAATTTTTTAAAAAGTAATTTCCTAGGCACTTTCTGCTCATACCATAACTCTTCCTCTCGATAAACTTACTTTTCGAACATCCTCTTGTACTTGTGCTGCTGCGTTGCTCGAGGAACTTGCACTCTGAACCTCAACAGTTTCCTTCTGAGAGGAGGGGTATGTTGTAACAACTTCTTGTTGGGCATCTTGAGGATCTCGGGCCTCTGTCAACCTGTCAGAACAGTATATGATGTAAATTATCACAATAACAACAACAACAACAACAATAATAATAATGAAAATGATAAGTGCAATAATATAGTGTTTGAAAAAATACAAAACTGATAACAATAACAATACTACTGCTATTACTACAAATAATAACAATAACCATAATAAAAAGCAATAACAATGACTACAACAATAATTGCATCAAAAATGATAATAACAATACTAATACTACTAATAATAATTATAACAATGACAATAATAATAATCATAATAACACTACTACTACTACTAGTACTACTACTAAATATTATTAATTATCATCATTATTATTATTACTATTATTATTATTATTATCATAATTATTACTATTATTATCATTATTATTAT